GTAATGTATGGTGATTAACATAATAAAATAAAATTTAAAAAAAACTTTATTCAAAAAAATTTTATTCCACCTAACAAGTCATTAACATAAGAGTAAAAAATGCTACTCATATAAAATCAGTGCTATGTCTATATTTATCAAAAGCACAGAAATTTTCATCTAAAATTTATAATTTGCCATTTGTAAGTTGATAGAACCTATGCAACTTACCAAATTGCTAATACAAATTAATAAATGTATTATCTCCAGGTATTTCCTTGAGTTCTTCCTCCTCAGAATTCTACAGAAGAAACTCTTATTATGGCAAAACACAGGGCAGGATCAAGTAAGCTGTTTTCTATTACATGTAATAGGATAATTCATAAAAAATCAGATTGCAATAGTAAACAAAATCCTATTTTTCCCAGTACTAAGTTTCTCATTGGCTTTCAAATGCTAGACTTTTTCAAAGTTTTCTTGAACTTTACTCTTCCTTATCTTTGCACACACAGCTCCCTGATGTCAAGATCTACCTCCAGCATCCTGCTTTACATCTCAGGTGCTGGTTTTAGCCCCAGAAACCTTTCCCAACCAGATCTGAGCTGAGAAGAGGTATCGCTACTCACCTCCCCAATTCCTGTTTTGCTTCTTTCAAAACCCAACAATTCTCTCCCTTCCACCTGATGCTTCAACTCAGAAGCTCAATTATTAACCACATCCCTAAATACCCTACAACTTCCAAGTAGATTTTTTTCTACAGTGATACCTCTGAAATAGCATATGCTTCAAAGTCTATGCTATATACAAAATTAGATCATCTTTGACCAATGACTATTGGGAAATTTTCCTAACACTTTAATGTAATTCTTTGCAAACACCCTAAATTGGCACAAGTGGTCAGTACTTAGAGAAACAGATCCAAATTTAAAATAAATTTGTGAGTTAAAAAAAGTAAATAGATATTAAGATATGGAGACAGAGAGATAGTCTACCAATTACCACTCTCTAGGAGTTACCGATCTCCTCAAAAATGTTCTCAAATCAACCTCCAAAGCAGAGCTCCTTCATCTGTGTTCTGAATGCATCATGTGCAAATCTATGTCACAGGTATTATGTCACCATCTTATCGTTATTTGACAAGGACAGTCTATTATTATTAATCTGCATGTCCTAAGAATAAGGCATACCTTCAATTACTGAAGAACAGTGGGACAAGGGAATGATTCAGACTTCCTTTCATAGAAAGGGGCTCAAAGAAGTCATTACTTGAAAGTAAGTACCCTTCAAATTCAGGATTAGAGGAGAAACAACAAAACAAGGAAACCCTGCCATCTGAGAACCGAGTTCTTACCTTATCGTAGGAAGCAGACGTGAGGTCATCATAGTCAGAAAGCCAGGGGTGAGCCTCAGCGTCCCGTTTCGCCATCTCCTCCAACTCTGCCTGCAACTTGTCCCAGAAATCGACATCAGACTGTAAGGAAGGGAAGGCAGGTAGAAAAAGGAGATCCATCATGACCGCCCCACCCCACCCTCAGCGCCACTCAGATGGACCCCTTAAGGCAGTAAATCTTAAATTTCAAAGGGTCCAAGAGCCCCTGAAGAGCTTTTTTAAATGCAGATTCCTAGATCCTACCCCCAGATTCTGATTCTGCAGTGGAAGGTGATGTCCTGGGATTTGCATTTTTGGTAGTTACCCACCCTACCCCCAGCAGTTCTGACACAGAGGGTCCAGGAACACTATGGCATACAATGTTCATCATCTGTGATGTTCCAACACCAACTCTCCAATGGAGTGTGTTCCCTTGAGGTGTCTCCTGTGCTACCTACTCTCACCTCTATAGCTGACTTGGCTCGTTCAAACTCCGTATCAAGGGCAGCTGTGTTTCCTGGTCTTGTGAACTGGTCAACCCAGGCCTCTGATGTACCCTGTGACAAAGAAGGATGGTCATACCACTGCCAACTTTCTACTGACTGAACACCCACTAAACACCAGCAACCTGGACACTTCTGAGAACAGTCTCAGAATCTCTTTCCCACCCACTCAGGACCTGGATGCTACCAAGACAAGCTGGCAATAAAATCCCTTCCCCATCTGGGACCACTGAACACTGAACCCAAGGCCTGGGGCACCAGCCAGCTCTGAAGTGGGACTGGGAAGTGACAATGTCCTACCTGCTGCTGTATAAACTCTGCTGCCCACTGTTCTGCCTGAGCTCGGCCCGACCCTGCACCGGACTCCAGGGACACCTGCCCCTCGCCAATCTGCCGCACGAATTTCAGGAACTGGGGCACAGAGACACACATAGGCCACTTGGGAGAGGACTTCCAGGTGTGCACTCTCAACCATGCCCAAGAGAAGCCTGCACTTACCCCTCCCCCTGACCATCTCTAGCTGCAGACAAGATTTGCTAAAGACCCTGAAAAACGTCGAGAGCAAAAAGAAAGGGATTTCTGGCCTTAAAGATTTGAGAAGACACAGAAAAGCGAAAGGGTTAGTATGCAAGGAAATGAGAGAAAGAATGTTGGAAGGAAGAAGCAGGATCCTAAGTCTCTGTTCTCCAGACAGGAAGGAACGGACTTCGGATCTTATTTCCTTCTCTTTAAACTGGGGTAAGAGAAGCTAGACTCTTGATTTCCAAGACCAGCTCTGCTGGGCAAAGCAGCAGTGGGATGTGGCTCACCTCAGAGTTAGCCAATTTGGGGTCATCCACCTTGGCCACAAAGTCACTGGCTGTGTGCTGCAGATCCTCCTCAGGATGATACTCATCGTACCTGGAACAGGTAAGGACAAACTAGCTCCACCCACTAGTGTGCCACCACCTTCCCACACTATTCCCTACTCCCAGCCCATGGCAATCACAGTTGGTGGTGGTGGGGGGGGTGGTGACACGACTCTACTCTCTCATGAGGACCTACAATTCCAATTTACATTAAAAAAGGACACTTGGGCAGAAGTGGCAAAGCACTAGCTACATTCTTTTATCCTTCCCATTCCCAAGCACCTGTTTGTAGAGAGAAGGAATACAGTAGCAGCCTCCAAAGTAAAGAGGGAGGGGGTGCATACGGTAAAGTTAGGAACTTCTGATTAGGACACTTAGGATTCTTAACTCAATTGTATCTGAGACAAATTTCTAGGGGTAATAATACAAGTGGGAACCTTAACATAGAAAATGAGGGGACTGCAAGCGGGTTTGAGAATGTAGATGGAGGAGGTGAGGGAGGCTGGGAAAACTATCTAGTACTCCTTTCACAGGGATCCATCCAGGAAGAAGTAGCTGGACTCACCAGCGATCCGTGGCTGCTGTTCCCTCAGGCTCTCCCAGCCACAGCTTCTCCTCTGACTGTTCCAAATATTCCTCAGCCCAGCGGGCAGGGGACACAGACAAAGGATCTGCAAGGTGCAGAGGTGGAGAAATCACACAGGGCTCAGTGAGGGATCAGGGAAAGGAAGAGTATGACACATACTCAACTGACCCTCGTACCCAAGCCAAAGCAGAGCAGATCCTACTGAATCCCTCAGAGACTCCTGGTCAAAAGAAAACACTACTGAATTCTCAATATGCAACCCACTTCCAAGGGGCCTGGGGTGGAAGCTTACGGAGCTGGAAACGAGAACAAATGAGGAGACTCAGGAAAGGAGTATAGACCAAACCCTTTTGCTTGAAGTGCCAGAGACTTCAATAAGAAATAGCAGGCACTTAGGGCCTCCAACTTCCGCAAAGGTACTGCAGACAACTGGTAAGGAGCTAAGGGAGAACAGAAGAGGCCCTGCTCCTTAACCAAACCTCTGGTCCGTTCTCCATTGACAGAGTTCACCCTCTCCCAAGAAAACAAGCCTCATATTTCATCTTAATATAACTACCTAGAGAATCTGAGAACAGAATGCTGGGCTAGAATTTAAAAATACATTGGTCCACTCCTCTCACTGGATGTCTGTTCTATTTTTTTAGCTGAGCTGTAACATGCAAACATGAAAGTACATACAGTGTACCAAACATAAATGTACTGCTTTATTAACTCCTACACATGAATACACTCAGATCACCACCACCCCGATCAAGACACAGAAGGTTTATAGCTCTCTCACAGGCTCCCTCAGACCGCCCCCCCATCCCAGGAAGAAACACTAGTCTGACTTGTCACTTTTGATTCATTTTGAGGACTACGTTTTTAAGTGTAATTCTAGAAATTGTCTCAGAAGCTCTAGTGACAAAGGGCGCCACTGCAACATCATAATAAACATACCAAGGCAACAGATGGAATGAGGGCGCCAAACCCTTTCTCAACCTCCAGGGCTTTGTCCTGTACTATTTTGGGGCCGGAAACAAACCCAAACTAAAACAAAACAAAAGCATTAAGACATTGTTCAAAGGTGCCCTAAAGAATGAGTAAACACAGAGAAGGCAGGAGCCTGCAGTATGCTTTCCTTCTGCTCTGCATCCATACCTTTCCACATCAACACTGAAGTGGTCATCCTATCTTTGTCCCCAGTTTAAAGATCTGTCATTGCTTTTAACATGAGAAGGCAGATTCATCCCCTTAGTATTAAATATGTAACAGAACTGTCTATTCTATTTACCAAGACTTTGCCTGAACAATTTCAACAAAGTAAACACAACATCTGAGAAAGTAATGTCAAAATCTGAAAAAAAAAAAAAAAAAAGGATCCCCAGACTCTCAAAATACACCTAATTATAAATAATAAAAATTACTAATATAATAAAAGATGTAGTTGATGATTTTTTTTGATCATACAATCCCTTAACTTCAAGGACTCTCAATATTTTTACACAGATTCCCTCACTAGTTCTTATAGACAACATTTCTCTTTCCTTTGCCCCAACTAGACTGTTGGCTCAAGAGTGGAGACCTAGTAAGGAGATACTTAATACTTAAGTAGACATTACAATGCCTCCTGGTCCCTTTGCCCCGTTCTGTTGAAAACTAGCCACCCCTCCTCCTTACTCTCCAGTCACTCCTTCCTTTCAACTAGAGGATTTTGCAGAAGCATACTCTGGCCACAAGTGCTCCTCAGATTATAGGGAATACTGTTTCTGTGAAATGCTCCTTTCAAGGACAAGAAACAATGGAAAAAATACAAAGCATCTGGACTTTAAAAGAGACATGAGGCAGATTAGACAAAAATCCCAGAGGTGAGAAAACTCATCCTCAAATATCTGAAATCTGGTATTTGGCCATATTAGCCACAAACCTCAATTTTCTGGCATTGGGAACCTGCTCCGACAAAGGAGTCAAAATGAAATGACCAAAAGAATTCTATTTGGCCTTCACGCTATTTTTTGAGAAATTCTTACAGAAAATCAGATCCACTTGGGTACCTGAGATTGAAACAATTAAGACCTACAGACGGGAAGGGGCTATCCCGGGTCACATAAATTAGTAGAGTTAGAACCAACAACCTAGATACCAAATATCCAATTCAGAATGTTGTCTTACTTAGTTTCTCATTGTGTGTTCCTTGGCACATCTAGCCCAAGCTCCAAAGTCAAAAACTCAGAATTTCCCACCCTTACCTAACATAAAGGTTTCTGAGTTTGCTAAATAGCCCAATGGTAAAGAATGTAGGTTCCAGATCAGCCTACCGGGCACTCAAATCCCAACAACACCACTTATTCACTGTGCAAGGTACTTAACCAATAAGTTTCCCTTTCCTTATCTATAGAATAGAGATAATAATAGCTACCTCGTAGGGATTCTTGCAAAGACCAAGTGAGATAATGCATACATAAAGCACAGAGTAACAAATGTTAGTTATTATTATCATTACTGTCTGCTCACAGCAAACCCATACCGAAAGTAGAAAACATCGCAATGAGATGGTTACTCGTTTTCTTCCACAGCCTCTTCTGCTGCCATTGGGGGAGATCTATTGCCACTTATCATCTGCTACTGCTGCCTACCGCCTTTCCGAGGAAAGTGCAGCTTTCTCTCTTAAGATTACCACAGGAACCTCACACACCATGTTAGCTGAGGCTGTCTAAATTCAAAACCCCTTAAAGACGTATTTCATCCCTACAGCACAAGATGTAGAATTATTTGGCCCAGGAGACTTAGGGGCAGGGGTCGGGGGTGGACTGCATCAAGAAATACAGCAGACTCAAAAATGAGCTTCAAGTGGTGATGGAATAATTCTGTAACTCGATTGTGGTGGTAGTTACACAAATCTACACACATGATAAAGTGGTATAAAACCATAAACACACACAAAGGCATGTAAAACTGCTACAATTTAATAAACTCTGTGGACTGTACCAATGGCAATTGCCTGACTTTGATACTGTACATAAACTAACAGTTATGCAAAATATTACCACTAGGGAAAACAGTAAAAGATACACAGAACTTTCCTCTACATTTTTTGGCAACTTCCAGTGAAACTATAATTATTTCCAAATAAAACATTAAAACAAGAAAAAAAATGAACCGTCAAGTCTCCTTTTAAACTTGAGTCTAGAATCCTAACAACAGGGATTTGAAGATAATAAAGATTCAAATATAACCTCCTTTTATCTTGAAGTCTACTTATCCATAAAGCAATAGGTAACCTGTATCATCAATATAATATCAGCCACAAACATTATGAGGATAATAAAAAATGAATGATCAGAAAATTAATTTCCTTTAGCTTTCTCCCAGATCTCAATTCAATAAATACTGAAGGTCCATACAAAGCAATAACTACTGCAATTGGCATTTTTATGAAGGCAGACCCCAAATAGCTCAATTTCCCTTTCCAGCTCTCCATCTCCCTGCCTCCATGAAGCAGGCACAGTCCCAAAAGAATGTATAAAACAGAAGAAATCTCCCAAAGAGGACTTAACAAGTAAGAGAGGTCCAACATATTTTTCTAAAGTTGTTTTTCATTTACAGGTTAAGGAAGATTTCACTGATTGCAAGCAATTCTGGTAATTATAACAAAAATCTCATCAATCTCAATGCTTATAGTAGCAATGACTTTTTTTTTTCTGAGTTCCCAAAAATGACAGATGCCCACACATTACAAAAGTCGTCTCTCTACGATAAGGAGATCGCATTTAAGTCTAAGGTTTGTATGAAAAACTGAGTTTGTCTGGTGGAGGGTGTTTGTTACAACTCAGATTTTCACTTGAGGCAGTTCCCTGAAGAAGATTCTCAATGACAGCGTAATGGCTCTAAGTATGGAGCCTAGAGTCAGAAAGACAGGAGTCCGAATGTCATCTGTTACTGAGTGACTTTGAACAAAGTATTTAACCCTTCCAAATCTCAGTTTCCTTATCTATAAAATGGGGAAGGAATACCTACAAGGTAAGTGTAACTGTGAAGACCAAATGAAGATTATAAAGTGCAAAGTACTATTAATGAAACCAAGAATATCTATTATTCTACCTTAAACTCCAACTTACGGGTGGGAAAGGTAGTCATGATAAAAGAGATCAACAGCTTTTATTAAAGATGAGTTTTAGTTGTTAGATTTGGGGTTTTTTTCCTAGAGACGGAAAGCCCTATTTTTAGAGAATAAAAACAATGGCGGAAGAAAACAATTAGGTGCCATTAATGATCTCAGGAATGTTCAAGAACTATGACGATGGGGATGCCCTGAGAGTCTAGAATCTTTGTAACTCTGTCCATTTGTATCTCTTGTTATTCTTAATTTCTTAAATTGGAAAAAAGCTAACAAGTGCTTTTCTTTGGAAGCAATGAGGAAGAGGAAAGCTGAAGAGAATGTCCTTCCCCCATGCCCCTAATCAGACAGGCTTGGGGGAGAAGAATCAATCCCAAAGGACAGGATGAGCATGGACACTCTCAAAGACGGAGAACTAGGCTGGGACCCTGAAGAGCTTCGGGTGCAGGCCTGAGCACCGTGGTTCAGCCCACAGGGTCTGGAATCATTCAAACCCAGAGTCAAATCCCAACTCCACCACTTACAAAACTGTATCACCTTGGGCAAATCACTTAATCTTAAAGCCTGTTTTCTTATCTATATGCTGGGAATAAAAACAGTAGCTACCTCAAGAATTTTCATGGGGATTAAACAGATAATACACTGAAAGCACTTAATACAAAGCCTAGAACATAGTAAGTACACATTGACTATTATTATGAATATTTATTATTATCATCAGGATACGGTCTTTGCCCTCTAAGACCTCATACTTCAAGCCCTTGAACACAATTCCATTTTCCAAGGCCCGAACTCTCTTCAAGAGGACTTTTATTTTTTTAAGATTGTATTTATTTATTTCTCAGAGAGAGAGAGAGCACAAGCAGGGGGAGCGGCAGGCACAGGGAAAAGCAGGCTCTCTGCTGGCAAGGAGCCTGATGTGTGACTCGATCCCAGGACCCTGGGATCACAACCTGAGCCAAAGGCAGACACTTAACCGCCTGAGCCACCCAGGCGTCCCTGTTCAAGAGCACTTAATGCCAGAATCCCACTGGCTATGCTTAGTATTTCTTCCCGAGCAACACTGCCATGCATCCAATCCGTGGATCCTCACCACCAAACTACAGCAGTAAAGTTCCAGATAACAAAAGAGTACCTAACTCCTCGTGTTCTCTCTCCTCATCCTCTCTTACATTCTCTCTTTAAGTAGAGATATAAAAAGATACATAGATATAATCTCCAAAATCTCCTACCCAGTTCAAACCCAGTCCCCTCTTTCACATTAAGTTTCAATAACTCCCTATTATCACCTAAGGGAAATCAGGTTCAGTGCCCTAGAGAAATGAGTCAAGAGTCCAGAAAAGTTATAGAAGCTGAAATCGCTCTATATCCTAAGATGAACTGGGGGAACAGAATAGAACTTTGCCCCATATGAACCACTTTAGGTTTACCCACGACAAGCCTCACCTGTAACTTCAGAGATGAATTCCTGGGACCAGTCTGTCTCATTATAATCCTGAGTTACATCTACAGCATCTCCAGCTGCAAGAAACTCCTGGGCCCAGTTCTCAGACAAGGCCAAATCTGCCACACCAGGAGCTTAAAAGAAAGAGAGAGAACTAAGAAAAAAAAGAAATGCATATCATTCTATCATGCCTCAGGAACCCAGAGTGCACATGAAAACACTTTGTCCCTTTTGTCTCCTTCTGCATCTCAATTCCCTAATGCCAGCAGCATCCAAATATGGAACCCCCTTGGTCCTATCTGCACAGAAAATGGTGATCTGCCCTCCCACCAGACTCTGGACCCACCTCTCTGGGGTGCCTGGCGGAAGTTTGACTGTTCAATCTCCTGCATCTCTGCCAGGAGGTCATCCATCTTGAAGGTCTGAGGGGCACGGGATACAAGTGGTGCATTCTGGTCCTGAAGAAATTCAGCCACCAACTGCCAGGAGAAAGATGATGAAATGAACTCAACAAGAGATAGAGCCCATGAACGGGAGACACTAACATCAAACACGAGGAAAGGGAAACACAGAAACTACAGATTTGGAAATACTCAAAGAATAGATTTCTAAAAACAAGCAGGAGAAGAAATAAGGCAAATCTCATTTGGTCAGGAAGGTCCGAAGAGTGAAATACAGATGAGCCAAGTTTAAAGTAAAAACACAACAAAAGAAAAATGAGGCAGAAGAGACTGGCATGTTTACCTCATCTTCAGAGGCTACTCCCAAAGGCTTAGAGACCTAAGAAAAGAAAGGGAAGCAAAATGGTACAGTAATGAAGTCCACAAACACAACTCAGTTAATCTGAGTTCAAATTCCAGCTCTAGCATTTAGAGTGACCTTGGGCAAGTCACAAAATTTCTCTGAGCCCGTTTCTTCACCTACAAAATGACTGCCGTCACCTGTATAAAGATGTACAATGCTTAGTACAGTGTTAAGTAAACACTCATTAAGTGATAACTACTATTATCTGCAACACAACAGAAAATGCAGTTATCCCAGTGTTCATCTGGCCCCTCCATCCCATGCCACCACTTGAGTTTTCTACCTCAAGAACACTCACCACCTCAGAGGCTGGGGTTCCTGGGGGCCAAGGGCCAGACCTCAACCCCTCCTGCCGAAGGGCCTTGTCCTGGGTGAAGTGCCCGGCCAGCTTCATGAGCGGGTTGGCACCCCCGCATTCGGCCTCCACCAGCTCCCGCATTGCCATGGTGACCGCCAGCTCACTGACAGGCAGAGAAGGTTTGGAACTGAGGTCCCGCTGCCAGATCCTTCCCCAACCCACAACTCAGCGGTGTCTGGGGGGAGACGGGCAGACGTCTGTCCCAGGTTGTTAGCCACTCGCCACCCTCCACCCCTGTGCCTTTTGCTATGGCCCCCACCTCTGCCAGGAGTCCGAGAGGGGGCCGGTGCCCTCCTGCCGCCCCCCTCAAAGGCCACCGCTTTCAGCCTGGGCCTCTCCAGCGGCCTCCACGACTAAGGTCTCAGGCGGCGGCATAGGCCGGCAGCCGCCCCCCACAGAGGGGCCTGGACCCCAGGGGACTAAGGGGGACAATTCCGCAATTGGGCTGTACCAGGGCATTGGACGGGTAAGGAAGAGTGGGAACGCCGCCAAAACGTAAGCCCAGTCCCCCAGACCCCCCCGTCGTCCGGCCAGCTCCGCGGGGAGCCATTCCTTCCCCGTAAGTCACCTGAGCCCCTCCCCCGCATTCGGCGTGTCCCGGCCCACCCCTCCTGAGCTCCGGACCACCCATTTCCCCCGCCCCAGTCGCAGCTCCAGCTCCGCCCCCGGGACCCGCGAGGACCAGGCCAGGACGGGGGAAGACAGGGAACGCGTCCTCGCGCCCCCTCGGGACCCTGCGCTCACCGTCGCGCGCCGCACCGCACGACCCGCGGGGCACCTGGTGCGGGCTGAAGGGGGAGGGGAAAGGAGGGGGCGGGAAGCCAGGGGCGGGGCTCGATCTTAAAGGGGCCGTGGCGGCCGCGCCGCAGTCGCTGCCCTGCGGAAAGCAGTTTGTAGGGGCGGGGCCTTAAGACGCCGTGAATCTTAAAGGGGAAGAGCGCCTTAAAGGGGAAGTCTCGGAGCAGCGACGCTGAGGGCGTTCAAAAGGGTCACCGGCGCTAGGACAGGTTTGATGGAAAGCTCAAAGGAGAATGGAGCTCGGAGGGGCTTCCTGAGCTTTGAAGGAAAGCCAAGGGAGCGTAATCCTGGATTCAGCCCATCCTGACTCTTCCTGGCGGCACATTGTGACCCAAGGGGATTCCCTGCCCTTTCTGGGCCTCAGTTTCCCCTTCTAAAAAGGGGCTGGCTAGTCTTCCTAAGCCCCAAAGCGGGTAAGAGAAAGGCCCTAACACGGGAGTTGCAGGGGTCAAATCCGAGGCGTTCCTCAGCCCTCTAAGTATGTCCACTTCCAAATTGCCCCTAGTGGGACATCATCACAGTCTCCTTGGAGACAGAGGCCTGCCCCCAATCCCTCTCCACTTCTGCGTAGTGGGGAAGATAGCACTGGATGATGACAAATTCCGGAGACTAAAATAGGGTCCAACGCATCCTGAGTCCTCAGGCTGGTATCACACAGGGAAGATGCACAGTGAATCACTCCTCTCCCCTCCTTCCTCCACCCGTGGTCAAGGTCACCATGGTGGCCGTATTCCCACTGCTCCAGACTGGGAAACACAGATATGATCCAAGAAATGACTTTTAATCACGGAATAAGCCTCGGGTCCCACCATCTGCCACAGTATTGGCTCTGACGTCAAACTTCAAGGTCACCAGGAAATAAACCCTTGTATCTCACCTAGCTCCAAGACCAAGGGAGTCCTGGTGCCACAAAGAAGGGCAGAACGGGGCTCAGGGCTGCTGGTAATTGAGCAAGGATGGGTTAGTACCAAAAGGACCAAAGCACCATCCCAGCCCAGGGTGCAGGAGAGGAGACAGATAGACAGCAGGTGGCGCCCTGGGCCAGGCTTGTTTCCTGGTTGTCCGGCAGATTGCAAGGGTGTCGGCCCCAGGGGACCACAGAGGCTTGGCTCTGTAAACTCTTCCCTGGGAAAGTAATGAAGCTGCTCTGACACCTCAGGGGAACAGAATGGCAGGGCAAACCTGGAGATTGTGCAGAATTTCTCCTTTTCCTTACCTTTTCACCATCTTTCAGAACCCCCGTCCCCGACCCCTTTTCCCTGGAGAACACAAATCCCAGTCCTTGCATGTTCACTGTTCTCAGGTTGCCACTGTAAAGAAAATAACTGGTACCTAATAAACTAAACCATCCCGAGGAGGAAGGGACGCTCTGTAAAGTGTAAAGGATCCCTGGCGAGGGGAATGTTTAACTGAAAGCATATGATATGGTAGAATTTTAGAAAATCAAGGCAACCAGAAGGGACTTCCCAGTACCACTCAAACCATACCACACACATAGCCACCTGCTGTGCTAGGAGTTTAGTAACTGATTATCAATAACTCAGTGTGTGCCCGCCTCCTAGGAGATGATGATAATGATCATAACTGATGCTTATTTGATGCTTACTAAAACCCAGGCATTGCACTAAACACTTTATGGGCTGTAGTGCTTTTATTCTTCATAATACCCCCTATGAAATAGATATTGCCAACCCCACTTTGCAGATGAGACTTACCCAAAATCACACAGCTAGGAAATCAAAATTCAATCCAGACATAACTCCAAATACCTACCCGTTATGAAACACTGCCTCCCAGTCTCAAAGAAGCCCTATTTATAAGTCCCAGAGAGCTTTGTCTCCCAGGCCATAGAATTCTGCCCAGGACCTGGCTTACAAGTCCAAGAGGGACTCGGGGGCTAAGAAAGGACTTATAAAGCCATTTGGGTGTTTCTGACGTTCTAGATTTAAAATACTAGGTTCAACTTTAAATTTTTATTCTATTCATAAAAGTAGTAAGTTTTATAAAATGAAAATTTCATTTCATACTTTAATGTTTAATTCTACTTATTCTTTTTTTTTAAGATTTATTTATTTATTTGAGAGAGAGAGACAGAGAGAGAGAGCATAAGCAGAGAGAAGGGCAGAGGGAGAGGGAGAGGCAGACTCCCCGCTGAGCAGGGAGCCCGATGCGGGACTCGATCCCAGGAACCTGAGATCATGACCTGAGCCGAAGGCAGACGCTTAACTGACTGAACCACCCAGGTGCCCCAAATTCTTATTCTTTTAACTAATGATTAACTCAAGTTTAACAGGTTAAAGTTCTCCAGTGTTTAGATATAGACTATATTTACTGTATGCCAGGCATTGTTCTAAGCATTTTTCAAATATCAATTTATTTCATCCTCATAATAACTTCATAGAGATTTTATTTATTTGTCAGCGAGAGAGAGAGAGAGAGCACAAGTAGGCAGAGCGGCAGACAGAGGCAGAGGGAGAAGCAGGCTCCCCGCTGAGCAAGGAGCCCGATACAGGAATGGATCCCAGGACCCCAGGATCATGACTGAGCCGAAGGCCGACTCTTAACCAACTGAGCCACCCAGGTGTCCCTCACAATAACTTCATAATAGCAACAATAATTCTGCGCATTTTGCAGAAGAGAAAACTGAGGCACAGAGAGGTTAAATGACTAGCCCAAGCTCATACTAATAAGTAGCGAAGCTGTGATTGGAACCTATGCCAGGGTCATCCAGCTTTATCTGTGAAGAGCCAAACAGTAAATATTATCTTTTCAGGTCACACAATCTCTGTCACAACCACTCAGCTCTGCTCTTGTAGCATGAAAGCAGCCAAAGATAATACACAAACAAACAAGCATGGTTCCAATAACATTTTTTATGGACACTGAAATTTGAATTTTATGTAATTTTCACACATCACAAAAGAATTATTTTGATCTTTTTTGACCATTTAAAAATGCCTTAGCTTACAGACTGTACAGAAACAGGCAACAGGCCATAGTTTGCTGACCCTTGACCTACATAATCTGGTTCCAGAGGCCATGCTCTTAAACATTATGCTAGACTTCCCCTTTTTAAAAATAAAAATTTACATTTCCTTAAATATTTTTAACTACGTGGCATTTAATATACATACATTTTAAGCATTTTCAATGCCTGACAGGGCCAACAACCCTATCAAGCAAAACCTTTCTTTTTTTTTTTTTTTTTAAAGATTTTATTTATTTATTTGAGACAGAGAGAATGAGAGACAGAGAGCATGAGAGGGAGGAGGGTCAGAGGGAGAAGCAGACTCCCTGCCGAGCAGGGAGCCCGATGCGGGACTCGATCCCAGGACTCCAGGATCATGACCTGAGCCGAAGGCAGTCGCTTAACCAACTGAGCCACCCAGGCGCCCCGTGGGCAAAACCTTTCTAAATTTATTCAACACTGTACATCTAATAAATCAAACTTGTAAATATTTATCCGATTCCCTTAATCCTCTTAAAATTTCAAGTCTTAAAATTTTACTTCCCAAATTGAAGGCTAATACATCGGATTCTCTTAAACATCAAATATTTTAATTCATAAAGTCACTTACTTATACCTCTGGAAAGTAAATTTACTGGCTCAGGTGGGTCAAGATTACTAGGCTAAATTTGGGACCATAGTAAAAGTCCTTAAAAGAGATTTGAGACCAAGGCACAAGACTTAGGAGCTACACAGTCCCAAGATAGTGCTGTCTGAATAACAAGCAAACACTCTCAGCCCAATTTTAGAGATGAGTTCTGTCTGCTGTAACATAGTCCCTAAGGCCATTTCCTTCAACTAATATGATACCTGACTCACAGGTTTCAATTTTACCTAGTTTTTATTGTCTCATTTAGATGCAACTAATTTCTTTACAACTTCACCGGAGCAAACAAATTATTGTAGAAGTGTTGGCTTCTATCGTTTTTGGTGAGGGGGGGGGAGGAGTTGGAAATGGGGAACCACCTCATCTGGTTTGATTCTTTAGTTTTTTAATGATATAAGATGTCGTGTTATGGAACTGTCCATGCTCTGGAAATTGCAAATGAAGGTACAGTCTTTATACCTGTACATTTGGCAGAGCTTACTGGTTATGATTTACCTATCCTTCTTTCAGCCTCAGTACTATCACTGGCAGAGATAACTCGGCAGAGGAAGAAAGTTCTATGTGCAGTGAGACACAGCAAATCCCAAAGCTGGGCCTATCTAAATATACCTGGACAAAAATCTCAGTTTGCTTTAAGTGTTCAGAATAGTGAGATCCACTCACTCATATGTGGAATTAAGAAACAAAACAGAGGATCATAGGGGAAGAGAGGGAGAAATAAAACAAGATGAAATCAGAGAGGGAAATAAACCATAAGAGACTCTTAATCATAGGAAACAAACTGAGGGAGGATGGGGTAACTGGGTGATGGACATTAAGGAGGGCATGCGATGTAATGAGCACTGGATATGATAAAAGACTGATGAATCACTGAACTCTACATCTGAAACCAATAGTACATTATATGTTAGTTAATTGAATTTGATTTAAAAAAAAAAAAAAGAATAGTGAGATCTAGATATACCTAGGTGTATCCAGCACTACCAACCTAGCTTTAGGTGCAAAGTACCTAATCCCATT